TTCTGTTACACCAGTTTTAGGCCTGAATCCGGCCCCAGAAATCAAGGTGGGACAGTGCCAAGCCGCAGGCATGCAAGCGTGTTAGGGCAAACAAGAAAAATCCACTTTGCCATATTTAGAATGGAGCATTTCATCTTCCTTTGTTTTTATTTGCATTTTTCCCTTTGATCTTCCCAGGTGTTCTTTCTCTACATTCTAAACTTATTTCTCTCTTTTGGATCATACTTACTTCTCTCTCTCTCCCTTCATCCTTCCAACATTTCTGAGACAATCCCGGTGCCAAGAAGAGACTGAGAAGCTGGCTCGGGAGGTAGGACCTTCCCGGGACACCTGCCCAGTGCCAAGTAGATGTTGAGCTGCCGATCAACAACCACTAGGGGGCGCCCTTCCCCATGCCTCTGCCGCGGAAGCGCCCACCGGAGTCCAGGCTTGGGGGAGGACACAGGCTGTATCCTGATGGTCACCGCCTCCACCTCATCACTGACTGATAGAAGGCCACCCTCCATTGTTATTTCCTCCCTGTGGCAGAACCGGGTTCTGAATTTCTCCTTAAGCAAATCCCCAAAGCATATTTTTGACCTAATCTCGGGTTAATAGGTAGTTTTTCAACCTTTAGGGATTCAAGTTCCCCCTGGGGTTTTAGAACGGAGCTAGACTCTGCCTTCACAGGCCCCTGCAAATCAAGGTGAATCGAGAGTGGCATTTAAATCTGGCCTCATATGCCAAGAAATGGACGTCCTCACATCCTCGTGCTTCCAACCCCCCGCTGGTGATCTCGGTTCCCATGACACCCCTACACTCTCAATCACACTTGTTCCCACATCTGCCACAGAGTTACGGGGTCCAACTTCACTACAGCTGGTCTCCCTGTGAGTTTCCCATTCTTCTTCTCATGGCAATGCCCAGATCCTCCTTCTAAACCCTTCTCAAAGTTTGCTTTCAGAGGAAGCCAGCCAGGTCCCTACCGGGGCAGCGTGGCCCTTCCATTCTCTGCAGTCCTCCACTCTGTTGGTGCCGCTGTGGCGTTTATCTGCTCCTTTATCCTGCCTCTCACATATCTCTTTCCAGAGCTAGATGAAAAAGCTGTAAATGAAGATTGGCAGACATACAAATATTTTTAAACTACATAATGAAAACAATATAAATACAATAGGAAGTAAAAAAAAATAAAAAATTACAATACATATAATGGATTAATTTACATAACCCAGAGAGAATTCCTAAAAAGCTATACCAAAGAGATGGGGAGAATCCAATAGAAATGGGCAGGCAACTCAGAGAAGGAGAAAAGTATTGGCTCAATCTTTAATTTTAACATGTTAAAATAAGAAGGCAAAATTTTAATATGAAAAATAGAAAAATAGAGTAATCATAGCCATTGTTTATAGTTTACTAGAATGGGGGTAATAAGCATGCCCATATGTAGTTGGAAGGAGTACACACGGAAGCACAGTTTGAAGAGTAGTAGAAGAATAGCAAATATATCCTTTTTTTTTTTTGAGACAGAGTTTCGCTCTTGTTACCCAGGCTGGAGTGCAATGGCGCGAACTCGGCTCACGTCAACCTCCGCCTCCTGGGTTCAGGCAATTCTCCTGCCTCAGCCTCCGGAGTAGCTGGGACTGCAGGCACCCGCTACCATGCCCAGATAATTTTTGTATTTTTAGTAGGGACGGGGTTTCACCCTGTTGACCAGGATGGTCTGGATCTCTTGACCTCATGATCCACTCATCTCCGCCTCCCAAGTGCTAGAATATTACAGGCGTGAGCCACCGCACCCAGCCAATACATTTTTTTTATACAAAATCATTGAAGAATTATCTGAGACTGTAAAATTTGAAAACAACTGAAATATCCATCAATGGAGGATGTAGTCATTGCAAATGGCATACAAATTGATATTTTCTATTCTGAGAGAAAGGATGAGAAAAGGATGTGAAAGGATGCTTTGCCATAAATTTTGAGGGTGGGAGAGAAACAGAGTGTGTGTGTGTGTGTGTGTGTGTGTGTGTGTGTGTGTGTGTGTCAAGACAGAGGACAGAGAGAGAGAAAAAGAAAGAGAGACAGAAGGGAGTTAGGGATGATACATACCAAAATTGTTGACAGTAGTTTCTCTAAAGAATGAGTAGATACTTTCATTTTCAGCTTTATATATTTTAATATTTTTAGGATTTTGCTGCAATGTAATTTGCTACAATTACATTTTTTAAATTTCAAGTTTGAGGAAAAAAGGAATGATCTGTTTACATGTTTGTCGTCTCCACTTAAAACATAAGTCAACAGAAATCTGGAATCAAATTATATGTGGTTCATATTTGGTTTACTGTATAAATTGCATTTATGCAGTGACTGACAAAGAGTAAACACTCCATTCATATTTTTTCAATTAATTTTCTTTTAAATATTTTAAAGATCGATGCTTTATTTAGCAGCCAGTTATAAAAAAAAAGGCACTGGGAGATAGTTAGGGAGCAGACTTCAAGGCCCCGAGGATCTGAGCCTTTGAATCTGGAGTGCAAGTCTGTTCTCAGAGGTTAAGGCAGGATCCTGAACAAACATTTGTTAAGGTTTTCGTTTTTGTGTTTCACATAATTCTTTTTTTTTTTTTCTGAGATAGAGTCTTGTTCTGTCACCCAGGCTAGACTGCAGTGGTGCAGTGGTGTGATTACAGCTTATCATAGCCTCAACCTCTGGGGCTCAAGTGATCCTCCCACCTCAGCCTCCCACGTAGTTAGGATTATCAGCATGTGCCACTATGCCTGGCTAATTTTTGCTTCTCATACTTCGTTTGCCTAAGAACTGCACAGTAGAGCTGGGGAGACAGACACAGACACCGATAGTCATACAGTACAGTGTGGAGGAATGAAAGGAAATAGGATGCACTGTGGGCGGAGGTGCCAGCTCTTCATTCCCCATAATAGTATATTTACCTGTATTTATGCATTTGCCTCCACAAGTAGAGTACACGTTTCTTGAGGTAGATAAAATAGGGGCTCTATAAGCTCTTATCAGTTCATTACAAGGTGTAGGTTTTCTATAAGTGTTTGTTGTACTTGCTGGATGCTAAAGGATTGAAATCCATTTTTCCTCCTTGGGCTCCAGCCCCTGCATCCGTATTCTCTTCCTATTCCACGAGTTAAGAACATACTAATATCTCTTGTGACTTTGAAAGATTAGGAGTCTAGTAAGGAATGTCCACAAATTAGGTTTCGAGTTGGAACAGGCACTGGAGCAGATGAAGACTTTGCTTAGGAGAGAATCCACAGCTTAAGCCTGGAAGGAAACTTGTTTAAGAGGAAAATCTGCAAACAACTGCCATGACCTTGAACATGAAAGTCAAAATCTGATTGACTAAGTTTTCTCTTTCAGTTTGGGGGACAAGTTAATCATTTCCAGAATTAAAATGAAGATACATCTCTCCATCCACCAACATAATAAGGCACAATGTCAGGAAAGCGGGGATAAAACATTAGTGCCTTTCTTTTTTTTTTTTTTTTTTTGAGACGGAGTTTCGCTCTTGTTACCCAGGCTGGAGTGCAATGGCGCGATCTCGGCTCACTGCAACCTCCGCCTCCTGGGTTCAGGCAATTCTCCTGACGCAGCCTCCCGAGTAGCTGGGATTGCAGGCACGCGCCACCATGCCCAGCTAATTTTTAAAAATATTTTTAGTAGAGACGGGGTTTCACCATGTTGACCAGGATGGTCTGGATCTCTTGACCTCGTGATCCACCCGCCTCGGCCTCCCAAAGTGCTGGGATTACAGGCTTGAGCCACCACACCCGGCCAGTAGTGCCTTTCTTTAGCGTGCTCCCAGTGCCAATCTAGTCTTCCGCACAGACATAGATACTTGCAAAGCAATGCAAGCGAGTGTGAATTCACAGGCACACTTGTCAGATGCCACAGTCACCTCCTTCTGCAGGGCAGGAAATACCTACCATCAGATGAAAGACCTCAATTCAAACTAACAAAAAATACCATGAGTGCTTTGTTAAACCTCATTTTAAATTTGAAAGAAGAATGAATACATTCCTATGCACAAGAAGTTTAGAATGAACCCATACTATATTTTATTATCAACAGAGAATCAAGAACAAAATCAGAGCTTTCCACATCACTGACTTGGCACCCTCTCAGTGGGATGGGCTGTTTTCACACTGAAGTTTCTGCAGACCTTGAGAACTGAGTAGGTAGATGTCTTAGTTCAGGCAGCTGTAAGAAAATACCATAGACTGGGCGACTTAAACAACAAATGTCTATTTTTCACAGTCTGGAGGCTGGGAAGTTTAAAATCAAGCTGCACACAGATGAGGTGTCTGGTCGTGGCCCTCTTCCTGATCTGCCGAAGGCCGCCTACTTGCTGTATGCTCACGTGGTAAACAGAGATCATCTCTTTTGTGTCTTTTCATGAAAGAGTACTAATCTCATTCATGAGGGCTCCACCCTAATGATCTAATTACCCTCAATGCTACCTTCTTCACATAACATCACACTAGGAATTAGGGCTTCAGCATGTAAATTTTGGGTGGCACCGAGGAGCCAGTTAAGAAAAGGCACTGGGGGATAGGTAGGGAGCAGTCGTGCAAGGCCCCGAGGATCTGAGCCTTTGAATCTGGAGTGCAAGTCTGTTCTCATAAGGAAGGATCCTGAACAAACATTTGTTGAGGTTTTCGTTTTTTGTGTTTCACATAATTTTTTTTTTTTATCTGAGATAGAGTCTTGTTCTGTCACCCAGGCTAGACTGCAGTGGTGCAGTGGTGTGATCACAGCTTACCACAGCCTCAACTTCTGGGGCTCAGGTGATCCTCCCACCTCAGCCTCCCAAGTAGCTGGGATTATCAGCATGTGCCACTACACCTGGCTAATTTTTGCTTTTCATACTTCTTTTACCTAAGAACTGCACAGTGGAGTTGGGGAGACAGACACAGACACCAACACAGTCATACAGTACAGTGTGAAGGAATGAAAGGAAATAGAGTGCGCTGTGGGCAGAGGTGCCAGCTAGTCCCAGCTCGGGGGGAAGTGGGAAGAGAAGGTGTCATTGGTGGTGCCTGGTAAACAATAGCTGCTGTAGGCCGAGGCGGCTCACGCCTGTAATCTCAGCACTTTGGGAGGCCAAGGCAGGAAGGTCACTTGAGCCCAGGAATTCAAGACCAGCCAGGGTATAATGTAGTGAGACCCTGCCTCTACAATTTTTTTTTTTTTAATTAGCAAGGTGTAGTGGTGCATGCCTGTGGTTCCAGCTACTCTGGATGCTAAGCTGGGAAGATCCCTTGGGCCCAGGAGGTTGAGGCTGCAGTGAGCCATGATTGTGCCACTGCACTCTAGCCAGGGTGTTAGAGCAAAAGCAAGACCCTATTTCTAATAAAAAATAAGCAGGACAGAGGTGGTGTAAGCACAGAGAGAGGTGGGGGCAAGAAGAAAGAGACAGATTGGGATGATGAGGAAGGAGATTCGAGGTCGAGGTTAATACCAGGGGGCAGAGCCTGAGTACCACCTCCTTCCCTTCTCCAGGACTGGGTCCCTTTCAGGTGGGACTACATGAAAAGGGCTCTTCAGCAGCTGTGTTCACAGCAACTCATTTCCCACAGGTCAGAGTTGGCATTGCTCAAATATGGGCTTCATTGCCAAGAAGTTTCACAAGTCTGCCAGGGGAAGTCCCTAGAATCTCCTGGATTTCTTGCTTCTTTCCTGTGGGACAGGCTTTCGAAATCTCAGAGGATAAAAGACCCAGGGAACATGCATCCCAGGAAAAGCTGGCTGAGAATATGGGAACAACCACCATGAACCAGAAGTCTCTCTGGGCAGGTAAGCATCCTGGGACTTCAGTCTCTCTGTTGACCTTAGTGTCAAAAAGTATCAAGCTAATGCAGGGGACCCTCCTGATCTTTCCTGAATGGGCAAGAAGGCAGCAGTAGCCAGAGCCCTTTGCACTGGAGGGATGTTCTCAGTTTGCAGAGGTGCTTCTTGTTCACATTAGAACTAGAGTTAAGAGACAGGAGAGAGGCCAGACTTTCTTAGTCTCTTGGTGTATGAGCGTTGTACTGGGAGTCACATCTCACGTGGGCTATGCTGTGGTTGCATTTTAAAACTTTTGGAAAGCCCCACGTTTTCATCCACAGAATGGTTTATTGAATTAAGTGTTTTCTAAACTCTCCCTTTCAACTCTACGGTTCTGATCCAAAACTCTGGCCTTTGTGGTGGCTGGGAATTGGGCTGAGAGTGGGGGTGAGGCTAAAGAAACAGGGCTATGAGTGAACAAGGGACATTTACCAGGAGGGGAGGGAGGGGATGTATCTGCCGGAGGAAAGAATCCATTTCTTTGTGTCCATACCTCTTTTACCTTGTCAGCCTCTCAGGCTGTGAAGGACCCTTGGTAAGAGCCTTTTGAGTTTCCTGTGGAACTTAGCTTAGCCCGGGCCCCTCAAGAGGACAGCCAGCAGGGAGGCCGCCCCTGGGAGAAGGGCCTGGAGGCTGACCTGACAGTGCATGTGCCAAACAGTTTCTCTGACCATTTACTTAGTGGGTGTGTGGAGAACCAGCTTCCTCCTTCCCTGCCTAAAAAACATGTGAATCATCAGGAGAGAACTGTAGAGCCCTGTTTTCCAGCCCTAAGCTCTGCAGGGGAGGAATCGGCTCCAGCAGCTGTGTCATTCAAAGTTTTCTCTCACTTTTGACTGCCCCTTTCTTCACTTTCAGACCCCCAAGGGTTCCAGTGTGGACAATATCCTCAGGCTGGGGGGATTGCAGTTCCAGGAGTCTTGTCCAGTGGGGTTAGTTTCTGGGATCCAGCAGCCTGCTCTTTCTTTCCTTTAGGAGGATGTGTTCAGGACAGAATAATCTCACCAGTCTTCCTAGGGTAGGCATCCTATGGAGAAAGCCTGGGCATAATCTCAAGCATGTGAATTTAGAGCACTTCCAGGGCCAGCTCACACTGCTCAACTCATCTTACCTCGTTGTAAGAGTTAATTTTTTGTGCATAGGGTGACCATTCATCTCAATTTGCCTGAGATAGTTCTGGTTCAAGCTATTGTCCCAGGTAAATTATTAATGCGCCTTTTCACTCTCCCAAGGGTCTCATTGGACAGTAAACTATATGGTCACCCTACCTATATTCAACTCCAGTGCAGACTGTGAGCTTCTTGAGTGCAAGGAAGCCATGAACTGCGTTGCAGTTTCTCCAGAGTCCTAAGCAATGCTTGGCACAGAGCATATGATTTAATAGAACTTTGTTGGATAAATGAATGAAAAGATAAATTCCCAGCTAGGAAAATGTTTCTGCCTAGGGATACAGAGACCACAAGGCACCCCAGGGCTGGAGACCTCAAGGTCCTGTAAAGGAACCACAGCAGCTGTGGCTGAAGAGCCCAGATGAAGTGTGGCTCTATCTTATATGTGGACACACCCACATTTTCACTGCCATCATCTGGGACAGCAGAACCAGGCTTTGCTCAACAGATTACTCTTTCCACCCATCTTTTACAGGTCTAGTGGTCTTGCTGCTTCTCCAGGGAGGTAAGTAATCCACAAGTCACTACCACCTGGGTCTGCTGGCTTGGGAGCTTTCATTTTTCACGTCCATTTCCTTTCTCTGCTACATGCTTTTCCTTTTGATTACTCTCTCAGGTTCTGCCACTGACATAGTTATGACACTGAGTTTTTGTGCTGTGTATCTCTTTGTGTGTCCCTTGTTCTAGTTCTGTCTTTTTGAGCCACTCTCTCTCTCACCCCTCTCCCATACCTGGCCTCAATGTGTGTGCATGAATACGCACATACGCAATGTATGTCTTGCCTGGCCTCAATATGTGTGCATGAATACACACATACACAATGTATGTATTGCCTGGCCTCAATGTGTGTGCATGAATACGCACATACACAATGTATGTATTGCCTGGCCTCAATGTGTGTACATGAATACGCACATACACAATGTACGTATTGCCTGTTTCTCTAGTGATCTGTGTCCTCTATCCATCCATAGCTTCGTGCTCTGAAGCTTCGTGCTCTGTGGGTATTTCATATGTGGATCATGTATCTGTCTCTCAGTGTATTTCTTTTTATTTTTCTGAGACAGGGTCTCAGTGTATGGTCCAGGCTGGAGTGCAGTGGCATGACCATGGCTCACTGCAGCCTCGACCTCCCAGGCTCAAGCAATCCTCCCACTTCAGCCTCCTGAGTAGCTGAGACTACAGGTGTGCACCACTACACCCAGCTAATTTTTAAATTTTTTGTAGAGATGGGGTTTTGCTATGTTGCCAAGGCTGGTCTTGAACTCCTGGGCTCAAGTGATCCTCCTGCCTCAGCCTCCCAAACTGCTGGGATAACAGGTGTGAGCCACTGTGCCCCGACTCGATGTATTTCTTAACTGGGGTCTGGGTACTTCAGAGCCAGCACTAAAGGCCCAGGCCGAATGACCCTCAGAGGCTCTGGCGGAATGGGCAGATGATGCAATGGCTGTCTTGAGGAGAAACTTTTGGCTTTCTGGGCCCTAAGGCAACAGCACTAGAATCTCATTGGCTCTATTCACTCAACTCCAGGATCTGCCTACAGGCTGGTTTGCTACTTTACCAACTGGTCCCAGGACCGGCAGGAACCAGGAAGATTCACCCCTAAGAACATTGACCCCTTCCTGTGCTCTCACCTCATCTACTCCTTCGCCAGCATCGAGAACAACAAGGTTATCATCAAGGACAAGAGTGAAGTGATGCTCTACCAGACTATCAATGGCCTCAAAACCAAGTCAGTAGGATGTGGGCGGAAGCGTACTGCACAGGGTTAGGGAAGGAATTTGGTCTTAAGCTGGGCCTAAGACCTACTATCTCATTCATCCGTTCATTCATTCATTCATTCATTCATCCATTCCTATGTATTTCTCTGGGTGTATTTCTGATCCTAACTGTTTTTCTCACCGGTGCTTCACTGAACTTTGCTTTGGTTCCAGGCCCTATTTGTCCATATGCTCTACACTTAAGAATTCTGTTCTTCAGACAGGGGTTTCCCTGGCAGCCAGAAAAGCAATAACCGTTTTTCTTCTACTTCAGGAATCCCAAACTGAAAATTCTCTTGTCCATTGGAGGATACCTGTTTGGTTCCAAAGGGTAAGACCACATCTTTATTTTTTTGTTCATTTTCCCATGTAATTTCTGGTCATCACCACTTTTCCTCCTCCTGAGAAGAGATATTGGACTGGGCTTTAAGAGGTTTTCCCTTGGCCAGGTAGCAAAACTGGTCTGAGTTTTGTCACAAGCCGAGGCACAGCATTCAGCTTCCTGGGGTCTTTCAAGGAATTCTTTCGGAGCTTAACACAGGCCCAGACAGTCAAGGCTTGCGAAAAAGTGGGCCATGAACAATATTCTAAAAATTCTTAATTATTTACAGAACGTTTTCTACTTTATGGATTATAGAGATAGTTTTAACTGGAAAGTGCAATTTTTTTTTAATCACTAGAGGGCTTGACTTTGCACCCTGGGGTGGGCTGGGTGGGCTGCTTCCACTTAGAAGCCCCACCTTGGCCCATAGCAGTCAGCGGACTACAATGTCTGGGGTCCTGGCTGCGCAGCCAGATGGCCTGAGCAAAATCAGAGCAGCAGAGGAGACAATCCGTTCTGCTTTGCTTAAAACCAGAATAGCTACTGATACAATCACACATTCTAGGTAATATTTTCTATTCACATGAACATGATATTCCACTTACATCAAGAGCTAAATGAAAATACATAAGGATAAAAATCACATTTTTCAATCTTCAACTAGAATTTATCTAATTTTGAATTTCTTCTGCTTTATTATTTAAAGTGCTAGCATCTTTAAAAATCCTGAGATCTTACACTCGGCTAGGAGAGTCTTGCAGTTTTTACAGAAGTCAGGTAGTACCACTTGTGCAACTTGTCAGTACTCAGTTACGGCTGCAGTAGGCATAGAGAAGCAGCAGGGGTTAGAAGACCTATGCAGATTTCTGCACACAGAAAGAAGGAAGAAAGATCGGGCTACCTAACTTCTTTGGTTCTGCGTTAACCCCTCCATGAACACCCATCAGTGTGAATGGGTTTCCATGGCAACTATCTTGCTAATTCCCAAATTCTCTCTCCTTCCTAAGATGTGCTTAGGTTTTGATACAAACAAAAATGTCTTCATTCATTCATTCATCCTTGCTTTCATTCATTCATTCAGTAAATTCATTCAGTAAGTAATTGTTTACCAGTTTAGTGATTAAAAGTAGAACTTTGGAGATAGACATGTTTGGTTTGGATTTCCCTTTAGACCCATGCAAGCTAAGTTCTTCAATGTCCATGTGCCTCAGTTTTCTTTAGCTAGACAATAAGAGTAGTGACAGAATTTACCTCAGGGTGATGTTGTAAACTCAGGCAATGCAAGCAAACTGTTCAGCATAAGGGCTCAATGGTTGCCGTGATCATTATTATATGATTATTATTGCTATTAGGTAAATGCCAGGCTTTGTGCCGGGTCCTGTGCAGAATAATTATGTATGTGAAACACACAAACTTCCTTCTAAGGAATAAATTAGTAAATTTCTATTGAATGGGCATCTCTCCTAAAATTGGAGGCATCTGCCCAGAGGCTCAGGTGTGATGGCTTTCTGATTATTGTAAGCACTTTCAAATGCAAGAGAAAAGCTAGAAACCTATTTCCACCATAGTTTTCTGATACCAGGCCAGTTTCTTGCTATCTCTTCTACTCCGAAGCTGAGAGACATGCAGGAGTTAAAAATCTCAATTAAATTGAATAAAACAAAATTAATTCATTCAATGCTCTAAGAAAGCCTTGGGGTGGGAGCTATTGTAAGAGGTGAAAAGTGATACAACTTAAAGGTTACGTCCCCAGAAAAATCCCAGTTTCTCATCTACAGCTTTGGGTTTTAAATGCTGTTGGTGCCCTTGGAGTGGGCATCTGAGAATCAACTTCATGGCTTCAGATGAAACCCTTGAGGAGCTGCTGCTTTCAAGCCCTGCTTTTCATCGGATATCCTGGGGGTGGGGAGATGTGCATTGCCTGTTTGTGACCGGGATGCTTGTTTGGGGACCATGAAGTCACTGGAGTCCAGTTCTTTTTCCTGGAACTTCCCTATATGTTACCCTGTTGAGGCGCATGAATCAGGATTAGCACCCCCAGTCCCAATTTAGAGGTAGCCAGACTGGAACTCAGAGAGCAGGTCAATGACAAAGTGGCCGTCAGAAAGGACTCTGACCTGGACTCGAATCTAGCTCTCCTGACCCTAAGCCCACCACATTGCAAACTGCTTTTCCAAGGGTGTAAAATGTTAAAGAAAACCAAAGCTGGACAGTATTTAAAGCAGTAAAACAGATTTTATTCAGGAAATACTGCAATGGAGGAAAAAGACCTCAGTATGGTGCTAAGTTCCCTTCCAAGGATAGCAAAGGCAAGGGAGGAAATGTAGTCAAAGAGCACGCTGGGGAAATCAGTGGATGCAAAATCATAAAGGGAAAGCATCAGGGCTAGGAGGATTCTTGCTCAAGTGATTCAACAGAATTCCTGCTGAAGGAGGCCGGAGTGCTAAGCTATCACCTGGGGGATAGAGGCGGGGAGGTGAGGGTGATCAGGTACCAGGAGTGGGCTTCTCCTGCTAAACTGACCTAGCAGGATTTTTGCTAAAACCAGACACTGCAAACATAGACACAGAAGCCTAAGGTTGAGGTCCAGCTGGGAAGAGAGCTCAGAGCAGCCCACCTAAAGTTTGGTCAAAGGCAGCTCCGTTACTCTCAGGAAGGTCTGCAGAAAACCCAATCTTTTTTTTTTTTTTTTTTTTGAGATGGAGTTTCACTCTTGTTACTCAGGCTGGAGTGCAATGGCGCGATCTCGGCTCACGGCAACCTCCGCCTCCTGGGTTCAGGCAATTCTCCTGCCTCAGCCTCCTGAGTAGCTGGGATTACAGGCACATGCCACCATGCCCAGCTAATTTTTTGTATTTCTAGTAGAGACGGGGTTTCACCATGTTGACCAGGATGGTCTCGATCTCTTGACCCAGGGATCCACCCGCCTCAGCCTCCCAAAGTGCTGGGATTACAGGCTTGAGCCACCGCGACCGGCCAACCCAATCTTCTTTTACCTGGCCGGATGAACATTCTGGCCCAACAATCCTTCTTCTCTCATCTGCTCCAAAAGGGAAAGCATTAGAATAGATAAATTGTAAGTGAGTACTGGGGAAGAGAAGACTACTTCAGGGTTTCTTTGAAAAATATGTCTCACTACGGGAGTTACTTATCCTTTCCAAAAAGACGCTTGTATTGCTTCTTCTCAGGTTCCACCCCATGGTGGATTCTTCTACATCTCGTTTGGAATTCATTAACTCTGTAATCCTGTTTCTGAGGAACCATAACTTTGATGGACTGGATGTAAGCTGGATCTACCCAGGTCAGAAAGACAACACTCATTTCACTGTGCTGATTCATGTAAGTCAGACGCCATAGTGCACTCAGTACTCTGACATGCAGAATCCACAGACACGCTGGGAGAGAAAAAAGAAGAGATTGAGTCTGGTGGGCAGCCCCAGCCTTTCTGAAGCCCCCACTAATGGGAGAAAAGCCCCTGTTCCTTGCTTAAGGCAGGAACAATATAAAACAATGGAGCCCCCTTATGTATTTATTTTGATGTTCATTTTGATGAACAAGGAAACAAAGTGTTAGAGTGTGGAGACATAGGATTTCCTGGGTACTGAGGTAGCCTCATAGGAGATCTATCAGGTAGAAATCAAGATAGTTATTTCCTGGGTACTGACGTAGCCTCATAGGAGATCTATCAGGTAGATCAGAAAATCTATCAGGTAGAAATCAAGATAGTTATTTCCTGGGTACAGTGAGGCTGGGATCCTCCCACCTAATGTGGAAACTTCCTGAGCAGATACAGGCACAAGACATCTCATGTGGGATGGAGAGGAAAGTATTGATCTTTTCCATCTAATGTGGTTCTAGAAACCTCATAGGTTCCAGGCAAGAAGCTTAGTGCTGTACTCTAGGGAGGGAAATCTAACACTTTGTTTCCTTGTTTTCCCTAGGAGTTAGCAGAAGCCTTTCAGAAGGACTTCACAAAATCTACCAAGGAAAGGCTTCTCTTGACTGCAGGTGTTTCCGCAGGGAGGCAAATGATTGATAACAGCTATCAGATTGAGAAACTGGCAAAGTGAGTAGATCAGAGCGACTTTCCATCCCTCTGCTTCCAACTTGGTCCATGCAAATGATGCATCAGCATGTTTGAGGGATGAGAGGAGGAGGCAGAAAAGGAAGGTCACTGTCCTAAGCCTGCATCATTCAGCCAGGAACAGCTTCTTTACAGAGACTTTCAGTCCTTCTAGCAGCATCAAAGCCAAAACAATTACTTACAGTTGTTTCTACCACTGCTCGTCACAAAATCTCTCCATTTGTTTTTGGCCCTTTAGAGATCTGGATTTCATCAACGTCCTGTCCTTTGATTTCCATGGGTCTTGGGAAAAGCCCCTCATCACTGGCCACAACAGCCCTCTGAGCAAGGGGTGGCGGGACAGAGGGCCGAGCTCCTACTACAATGTGGTGAGTGGACCAGGGAAATCACAGGGGCACTGGCTGTGGATGTAGGGTGTTAAGTGCAGCATGTCTAGAGTTACTTCTGTCTGGAACTGAGGAAGATCCACGTGCCCAGGAGGGATATGGGTAGCCCCAGGAGCAAGTGAGTGCAGGAGAAGTGCTTTAACCGGGCACCAATAAAATATCACCTGGAAAATGTCAGAAGTGCTGACAGCTGAAGTGCCCTGAGCTCTGCCTCTGGCTAGAGTGCCTCTATTCCAGTCGTCTCTGGATTTTCCATCTTTGATACATTCCTTGGCACCTACACAGAACTTGTACCTTCCTGTGTCCATCTGCATTCCCTATTTAATTCTATCTTCAAAACAATGCCCTGAGGTCAGCTGGGTAGGAATTATTACTCCCACTTCACGGATGATGAAATAGAAGCTTGGCAGATTCCATTGACTCTTCCGGGTTGTGTGATGTGAAGACCCTGGTGGTAGGAAATGAGAAGTGAAAAAGAAAATGTTGTTGATGTTGTTCTGGAACAAAATGGATGTACCCAATGGGTTGTCCTTGCCCACTGCATAGACAGAGCTGATTTATCAAGATAGGGGAATCGCAATAGAGAAAGAGTTTAAGTCATGCAGAGTCAGCTGTGTGGGAGACTGGGATTTTAGTATTACTCAAATCAGACTCCCTAAAAATTCAGGAATCAGGGTTTTTAAGGATAATTTGGTGGATGGGGGTCAGAAAGTGGGGAGTGCTGATTGGTCAGGTTGAAGATGAAATCATAGGAGTTGGAAGTAGGTTTTTCTTGCTGTCTTCTGTTCTTGGGTGGAATCACAGAACCAGTTGAGTCAGATTCTTGGGTCTGGATGGTGTCAGCAGGCACATCAGAATGCGAGATCTACAAAGTATCTCAACCATTGATCTTAGCTTTTGCAACACTGATGTTATTCCCAGCTGCAATTTGGGGAGGTTTGGAATCTTGCAGCCTTTGGCTGCATGAGTCCAAAACCATAACTTCTAATCTCATGGCTAATTTGTTAGTTCTACAAAGGCAGACTGGTCTCTAGGCAAGAGGAGAGCTTGTTTCCAAAAAGGGCTGATAATCGTCTTTGTTTCAAAGCTAAACTATAGATTAAATTCCTCCCAAATTTAGTTTGACTTACACCCAGGAGTGAACGAGGACAGCTCGGAGATCAGAAGCAGGATGGAGTTGGTTAGGTCAGATCTCTTTCACTGGCATAATGTTCTCAGTTACAATTTTTGCAAAGGCTGTTTCATATAAATGGATGTATATTCCTAAAATTCTGGGAGAAAAAACATCTGAGTTGCATGTCTCCAGGCCTTCATATTCAAAGTTACAAAATGGATCAGTCCAGAGCCAGATCTCCTGATTTCTGGTTGGGGTTTTCCAGGCCTTCATGTGGCTACGTGACATCAGCCTCCTTCACTCCTTCCTCTCTGCCAGCTATCTTTAAGGATGGGGAGACATGTCTTTGTCTTCTCTAATCCCTTATTTTGTTCTGAGAGCAGGAAAACCAAAACTAGCCTCTTACCTCCCAATCTGTCTATAAACCAAAAATGAAATTCTAAGCCCTCCAAACAAATCCTTCCTCTTGGCTAAGGGCAGTCCACGGTTAACCTGAAAAATTAACTCAGGTCATGATGGGAACTGGGGTGTCGGACATGCCTCACAGCTGACCAACATTAACATCAACACAGAGACCAGAAACATTTACGATCTAGTCTCTCCAAAGCCTGCAACCTGGAGCCTTTAACTGCATGATAAAACCTTGGTCTCCACACTGGCTTATCATAACCCAGACATTCCTTTCTATTGACCTTTCAGGCCTTTAGATAATAACTCCTTCAATTGTCAATCAAAAGATCTTTGAATTCCCCTATGACCTAGAAGCCCCCACTTCTGGTGGTCCTGCATTTCTGGAGTGAACCAGAGTACATCTTACATGTATTGATTGATGTCTTATGTCTCCCTGAAATGTATGAAATCAAGCTGTACCCTGACCACCTCAGGCACATGTTCTCAGCATCTCCTGAGGGCTGAGTCATGGGCCATGTATCACTCATATTTGGCTCAGAATAAATCTCTTCAAATATTTTACAGAGTTTGACTCTTTACGATGACATGTCCCATTTGGTCCAAGGTCATTGTGAGGCCTCATGGACAGCCACCTTTGTCACTATTCACAATGAGCCATCATGTAGACAAATTCCATAGGGATTTTGAGTTGACTCAAAAGGCAAAGGAAGATGGTGATAATCTTGATTTCATGTTTTCTAGGTTTCTTGACTGATTTCTTTTGTGATCCACCATCTAATTCCTTTCAGAAATTAGAAAAAGATGCATAAACCTTTTGGCTAAAGAGTATATGTGCATTAGAGCAAGCACTCTGGTCCTGCGGGGTTGGGTCTGTTCACACTCGGATATAGAAAAGAAACCAAGCAGTCACCTTTGTGAAGTTTGGAATAGAGGCTAAAAAAGGCCTGACACCTTGCTTTCCGCACGCTCTGAGCCTCTATCTCTCTTTCCATTCTAGGAATATGCTGTGGGGTACTGGATACGTAAGGGAATGCCCTCAGAGAAGGTGGTCATGGGCATCCCCACGTATGGGCGCTCCTTCACACTGGCCTCTGCAGAAACCACCGTGGGGGCCCCTGCCTCTGGCCCTGGAGCTGCTGGACCCATCACAGAGTCTTCAGGCTTCCTGGCCTACTATGAGGTACCTGGAACCCCCTGTGCCCCCAGCTGCCTGCCGTGCCTGGGTGGCAGTTCCAGCTTCAATCTGACAGTACAGTAAAGCGTCCTGAGTGTTGTGAAGGGGAGTTTAGAGTACTGCTGAACGTGTGAGAGGAGCTCCTAACTCTGGCTTGGAAGAGGGTCAGGGAATGCTTCCTGGGGGAAGTGAAATAAGCTGAACTCTGAAGAGAAGATGGAGCTAGCCAGGAATGGGGATAGGTAGAGGAGGTATGCAAAATTGAAAAGGAAGACCACCCCAGGTTCTTGATTTGAGCAGCTAAGTGGATGGCAATGCCATTTACAGAGATAAGGAAGACTGGGAGAACCCAGTGGAGACTGGTCCTGCTCATGAGATCAGTGTTGGACGTTCTGAGTGTGAGGAGCCTGTGGGACATATAGATAACAAGTGAGTCATTGAATATATGGATTTGGATCACAGCAGGCCAGTCTGCATCAGACAGATAGATTCAAAAATATCAGCATAAAGATGGTACCTGAAGCCAAACCATACAGTGAGAAGTGAAAGGGGCCCAAGACAAACCCAAGGACTTCCTGCACCTGAGGGATGTGCAGAGGGAGGGGAAACCACTAAGGTAACTGACAGGGAACTACGAGAGGGGTGGGCGGAACCCACACAGTTCTGTGCGGAAGACCTTAGAGAAGTAGGTGTTTTGAAAGGAGGGAGTGGTCAACTGTGTTAAATTCTGTACAGAAGTCAGACAGATCACGGGGGTAACAAAAGTGTTCAGCTAATTATACCATCATTTCTCTCTGCCCTCCAATCTAGGAACATTTATTTAAAAAGCACAGGGGAAGATAGAAATCTAACAATAAGTCAACCAACAGAAACTCTCTGGACACTCCCATATCCCAAACTGGGAACTGTGAGAGCTGGAAATAGGCAATTATCCATCCTTATCTCTAGAGTGGTTGTTGTCAAGGTAGAAAGAATGTAGAAAACAAACATAACTAGTTAAACTAAAGTTCAAAAACAAGGTAACTATAACATTTAATGAAGTCACAGAGGCATGGCAAAACAATATGGGTTTGAATGATCCATACATGGTGGAGAGTGACATGAGGTCAGAGATGGGTGACTGGGGACGGCTCCATGGAAGAGCAGAAGTTTATGCTGGGCCTTGAAGGATGAGTAGAACTTTAATCAGGTAGAGCAAAAAATATTATTCTATATCCTGGTCTCTCTTTGGAGTCCCAGCCTGACCTCTCATTGTGGGTGTGGACATGCCATGGGCCCATGCTGAATGACTTGACACCCACCAAGGTATCCATTCAGTATAATTGCTCAATTTTTTCCTTCACCTTACACATGGGAATGATTGACACATCATCAATTCAACTGGCAAGAGGAATGGGACATGGATCATTGTGAGAGTCCTCATTGAATCTCAGGGTGCCTGACAGATAAGAGGTGGGAGAGAGGTTGACCCATCCTTGGGTACTTTTAGGTTGATAGCAATAACACTCTTAAAATAAGAGAGAAGAGAGGTCACTGCTCAGAATCTGCTGGTAGGGTTTTTTTGTTTTTTGTTTGTTTGTTTTTGAGACGGAGTTTCGCTCTTGTTACCTAGCTTGGAGTGCAATGGCGCGATCTCAGCTCACCGCAACCTCCGCCTCCTGGGTTCAGGCAATTCCCCTGCCTCAGCATCCTGAGTAGCTGGGATTACAGGCATGCGCCACCATGCCCAGCTAATTTTTTTGTATTTCTAGTAGAGACGGGGTTTCACCATGTTGACCAAGATGGTCTCGATCTCTTGACCTCGTGATCCACCCGCCGTGGCCTCCCAAAATGCTGGGATTACAGGCGTGAGCCACCGCGCCCGGCCCCGGGTTTTTAAATCAACCTGTAGATAGGCACTTTTCCATCTCATGGGACGTTTGATTCAATTGTTCATAATGACTCTAGGTCATTACAACTTGGACAGGTTTGATATTTGATTAAATATTCAACTCACATTTTCTGCCTTCCTTGTAGTAAGCATAAACGTGTAGTTCATTCAAAAAGAGTAATCCAAAATGGATTTTCTATGATGTTGAAATGCGTTATTTTTCATTGAAGATGTATCTTTTTTAGAGCTCCTCCTTATGTTAACAGAAAGAATGTAGCTAATGATAGAAAGGGAGTCCCAGGACAGGGGATATTGGGAATGGGAGGGGACAAAGGGGGAGTAATGAGATTGAAGTGGAGAAACTACAAGGTGAGGAACGGTGGTGATGATCTTGATAATACTTCACATTTGTAGAGCACTTCACTGTTTCCAAAATAATGTTAATGTGTATTAGTTCATTTGATCCTAACGACACTGTAAGGCAGATGTGTTGGAAGCATTATTGTAATTATTTCCATTTTGCAAACGAAGAAGTTGGAAGATATATTGGTCGGTCCTGGAGTCTGATCTGGAACTCAAGTATTTTCTGATTTCTGGCTGCTGTGTCTCCTCTTGATGAGACTTCAGCGCAGACACTTCCCAGTGGCTCACCTTGGGCCACCCACTTTGTGTGATATAGGTAGTCATTTCTCTCATTGTCTGATCCTTGGGATAAAGGTTCTGATACTTTTCCCAAGTTTCTAGTGGCTGACCTGCCCTGTCTATTCCCATCAAGTTTCAAGAATAACCCATTACTGACCCTCCTGTTTCCCTTTTTGCTGCCAGATCTGCCAGTTCCTGAAAGGAGCAAAAATCACGAGGCTCCAGGATCAGCAAGTTCCCTATGCAGTCAAGGGGAACCAGTGGGTGGGCTATGACGACGTGGAGAGTATGGAGACCAAGGTAGGGGGGCAGCAGGCTCTGGAACGGGCAGATGCACCTTTGGGGTGGAGGTTGGAGGGAATGGGGGCATGTGGTAAAATGCCTGAATACTCTACGTTGAAAGAAAGAAGCTTCTGAGGCCCCAGACTCTAGGATGGGATTCAACACCCTCTATAGTTCAAGTCTAGTAGTGACTCTATGCCATGCCTGTGAGCAGCTGTGATACACGTAGAAGAGTTGGAAAGGATGCAAAAAATAGTTGAGAACAAGTAAGTTTATTCTGATAAGCGAGGAGTGGAGACAGGTGAGGGGCAAGGAGCAGGGAGAGGGAATAAAGGGGACGTTGGTGCCTGTATAGGTAATTTACTTTGTCAATTATCTCAGGACAAACTGTCAGTCCTTCTCACGGATTACCTAACTAGGAGGCTCCAGATTCCTGAGCCTATCATTTCTTAGACCTTGGTAAGACATTTGTGCTCCTTTCATGGTTAGGGCAAAAAGGAGGCTTAAGTGTAACTGACAATCCTGGCCACTTATCTTGTTAAGGGCTTCCTAGTTTCTTTCCTTATTATGAAGAGCTTTCTTAGCCTCCAAGAATGCCAGACCTTGAGTGCGGTGACTCTGTGAGTCAGAATGAGAGATGGCTAATGCTGACTTGGTGACTCTCTCTCTGAGCAATTTTACTCCTCAAGGAGTCTCTAACTCCAGAAAATAAGTTAGTCTACTGCTGCAGTCTAAGCTCAGACCCTCATCTGAACCTGATGTGGTCCTGGATATTTAGGGGCCTCTTCTAATCTCTATATGTCCTTCTGTGCCTCCCATAGGTTCAGTTCCTAAAGAATTTAAACCTGGGAGGAGCCATGATCTGGTCTATTGACATGGATGACTTCACCGGCATATCCTGCAACCAGGGTCCTTACCCTCTTGTCCAAGCAGTCAAGAGAAGCCTTGGCTCCCTATGAAGGTAACAGTCTGCGCTGAGGCTGGGAGTGTGCAGAGAGCTGGTCAGAACAGGCACGGGAGACTGGAGGAGATCATCTTCACATATTTGGACTAATCCTTTCTCATGCTCTTTTGGCTCTTCTGCCATGTTTTCTTAGCAATTAGGCTGGTTCTGCCCTTTTCATAGGCATCCCATAGACTTTTTAAATAATAATAATATCAATAAATTTTAGCTCATTTTATTGAGCATGATATGAGCTAAAGACTTTTATTACACATATATTAGGGATAAACATTGACTCCACCACAATTCTTGGTTACAAAACCATCAGCCTGTCTTAATTTTCTAAATCACAATAAATCTGACTCTACCTCAATTCACTGGACTGATGATAAATTCAGTCTCAGTCATTACCTAATGCTCTTTTCCCCCACCCACAGTTGATATTACTTAGTCTAGACATTCGGTGGTCCCATGGTCATTATTGATAAATGCCTCCCTGTTACTTTAAAGGTTGATGGCTTTGCTGCTGCTCCATCCCTGGGCCCTCGGGTCCCTAGGTGTGCTGTATATTCTCCTGTGCAGATGAAGGCTCTTGCTGACCAACCAGCTATGCTGTGATCCACTGGTTCTAGGGCAGAGGGTGGAGAAGCAGGTCACTGTGTCTCACTGCAGACACGCAATGGAAAAGGACTGGCTCTGCTATCCTGGCAAAGGGCCTAGAGCCATTTGAAAACTCTTGATCAGATGATTGGGTAGCAGCCTTCCAACTCTGAGTATCCTTGCTTAGTAATTTGACTTAGGCCTCAGTTAACTGAGTTGGGCTTTGAAACATTTTTCCTTTTGTTTCCAGGATTAACTTACAGAGAAGCAGGCAAGGTAACCTTGCTGCCTGGGGCCTGTTCTCTCCCAGGAATTCTCTTGAACTCCCGACCTCAGGTGACCCACCCGCCTTGGCCTCCAAAGTGCTTGGATTACAGGCGTGAGCCACCGCGCCCAGCCTCTCCCATAAATTCTCACATGGGATTCCCCCTTGCCAGCTGGCCTTTGGATCTCTCTTTCAAGCCTTCCTTGACTTCCTCTCAGATCGCGGATTGGGCCTGGCTTTGTTATCCTGCAGCTATTAACTTGTTGCCCTGAAGTACAATTAAAAAGTTCATCCAGTATGGCCTCATTTGTTCAGTCCTTGACCCTGTGATATCAGGCTGTCCTGTCCCTACTATTTGTGGGGTCTAGAGTTAGGGTGCAAATGAAGGTCTGCATATTAGATGTTTAAATATTTAAAACAGCTCATATGCTGTTAAAACATGACTTAGGCTCCAACATTAACACATACAACTTTGCAACCACTTTGAAGATCAGAATCTGAAAATTTAGAATTCTTAGACTCCTTGGAATTCCATACTGGAATGTGACTGCGTGTGTCCTCAGCTCCCAGCCAACAATCTTTTTCTCTTCTCATCATTGGCTCTGTCTCTCACAGTAGAAGCCTAGTGGGCATACCTGTGGACATTGTAGGCTTTGCATCCAAGCTTCATCTGCACTCTACCCTCGACCTACACACACACACACACACACACACACACACACACACACACACACTCTGGGCTATGCATGTGTGCACACCAGCATTGTGGTCCACTCTCAGTGAAGATGGGCCCAGGGAAAAGTCATGCATAGGCCCTGAGAGTGTGCACAAGTTCTTCCAGCTCTTTGGGTAGAAATCTGGATATCTGGATCACTATTTAGAAGAGGAGGTACGTGAGCTTAAGGTGAATGTGCTTCTAGCTTGACAGTCTCCTTACCTTGTGGGGAGGGGTGCAACTGGAAGAGGGCCCAAGAGGGACCCTCCGGAGGAGGGTCAGCAAACTATGGACCACGGATCAAACCTAGCCCACTGACTGTTTTTGTAAATAAAATGTTATTGGAAGACAGCTACACCCTGTTCGTTTACATATTGTCTGTGGCTACTTTCTCTCAACAATGGCAGAGTTGAGAAGTATGACCAAGATGGGATAGCCTGCAAAGCCTAGACTATTTACTCTCTGGCGCTTTACAGAAAAGTTTGCCAACTCCTTTTCTAAAGCATGGTATCCATAGCACCAAGCCTAAGGCTGATTCTGATGTCAGACACCTCAATCTTAGGATAAACTGTTTCCCCCATTTTCCCAATTTCTTCTGATCTTTTCCTTCTAGAAAAGTCACTTCTTTCCTGACCTTTGAACAGCAGTTTCATGCACGTGTTTAATCCTCATTAAATATGCTTGTGAAGAAGCTTATAATAAGCACAATTTTCAGATGAGCTAAGCAGAGTATCAGTGCAAGGGTACAAATCTGGTAAGTGGTGGCAACTAGACTGAATCCAAAAAGGATTCAGTGGACACCTAGACTGAATCCAAAAAGGATTCAGTGGACACCAGAATGTCTGCGGAGGGATTAGAGGTGGCTACACAACCCCTACACAACCACATGATCGAAGAGGCACAGGGTGGGAATGCTAGGAGACTTTTTTCAAAACTGCTTTGAATATCTTATTATGACAGAAAACCCCAGACGTACATACCAAAGAATGGGAGTGGCAAGCCCTGATGGACACTAGCGGAGGTTACCCTGCAAGGTCCCCTTGAATGCTGTTCCAGTGCTCAGATCTTCTTACTACAAAGTAGAAATCACTTGGGCAGCTCTCTGGGTTTCTAACTCTGGCTTTCTAACTTTGCTTCTTATGGTAATTGATTTCTCAAGAAACAGAAGAGCAGAGTAATGAAGAACACAGTCTGGAGCCAGATCTCCTGGGTTCACACACACACTGGCTTTGTCACCAACTTAGTGGCTACGTGACCTTGGGCATATTATTTACCTTTTCTGTGCCCCCAGTTTTCTCATTTTTAAGGTGGGGATAATAACAGTATCTACCTCTCAGGGATATGATGATGGTTAGGTAAGTTAATATTTGTAAGGCATTTGGGCAAATGCCTGACACATCACAAATATTATTTGTGTTTGCTGTTATTTTCATTAAAAGGAAAACGTTAGATAAAACAAATATAACGGCTCATTTGAGCAAAGAATGATTCAATGAATAGGGCAACACTCAGAACGAGAAGAGGTTTGGAGAGCTCTGCTCCGCAATATAGAGATATGTATCAACAAAATAGAAAGGAGAGAAATAGTTTAATTGGTCACAGCCAGGAGTCTGCCTTATTTAAACATGGTCTGATCAGTTGGCTGCCTGTGATTGGCTGAGATGTGGCTACTGTTACAAAAAACATATACCTCTAGGTTAGGTTTCAGTTTATTTACATACTACATTAGGTTGCAGTTCATTAGTAGGAACTCAAACTACAGAGATAACCTTAGGCCAAATTAAATTTAACACTTCCCTTATCCAGCTGCCATAATGGGCACGAGAGAGTATGGGCAGCTGCCCAACACAGGAACCTTGGCCTTGCGTGGAGCTACGAGCCCATTAAAGGTATGTCTTGGGCTCTGAGCCCTGAACTCTATGGAACACTCTCTCATGCTTGCTGCCAGGACAGAACCGTTTGTTTTGCAAACATCCAGTAGAAGATTAAGGAAATCAAGTCCTCCTGATTGGCTATGTTTGGGGAGGGATTCTGGTCATTTTTTTCCTTTTGTTTTCTCTCTCCTACACCCCCACCCACTACAATCCCTTTGAGGAGATCTTTGTAGGCTAAGAGTCTTATGCGAAGGAGGAACCATATTGTAGAGTTGCTCAGAGGTAGTATGGGTGAGTCAGGAGGTCATAAGAACCCAGGCCCCAGAGTCAGTCTGTCTCTGCTTGGATTACAGCTCTGCTGCTTCTTGGTGTGACCTTTGGCGGCTTGCTTATTCTCTTGTGCCTCACTTTTCCTAATATGTAAAACAGATGATAGTAATAGCATCTTCCTGAAGGGGTAGTTTTGAATAAATGACTTATTCAATGACTTTGGACCCTAGGTCAGCCTCATACTTGTGCCAAAAATGCCATTTTCCTGTGAAGCATTTAGCACATTGTAAGTGCTGAATGAATGTTCGCTATTATTGTTTTCAATACTGATCCAGTTCTAATTAGTCAATGCCTCCAGTTTTTGACATTCTTCTAGGGTTCAGACAGAGGCTAAACAGTCAAAAGCCTGGGAAGGATGGGGACAGACTGTAGGTAATAAATAGCCTTGGAAATGCCATCAGTCCTGCACAACCACACACAGGTACTGAAGTTTCTAGGACCCATTTCTGTTTTCTTTGTGAACCTAAATTGCCTTTAAATGGATCTAGCCTCAAAGCTCCCAAGGGTCTGATTAGCAGCTCCCCCAGGGCTAACTTGTTTTCCAGAGAGGGTGACCAAACTGTAGAAAGGAGCCCAATAAGGGTGATCACTGGGCTGGTACAACAGCACATCCAGGATGTGGATGGGTGACTTGGAAAAGAATACAAGTTAAAAGCTTCGTCGGAGTTGAAAAGTAGAGTGAAGCTGTTTCTGGAAAAGGTGAGTTGTGGCTTTAGTGTGAAGAGACTGCCCTGGGAAGGGCCCCTCTGTCTGAAATCTCCCCTTTTTCACCTTCAATGCCCCCGGTGCACCTCTCCACCAATCTGGCTTATCTTTAGGATCCATTCATTCAACGTATGTTGATAGAGAGCTGACTGTGTGCTGGGTAGTGCTGGTAAAATAAGAATTATTTAGATTCTCAGCATTCTATTTGTGTGTCACAGAGGTGCCATCACAGAGCTCACAGTCTGATGGGAAGACTAATAAAACAATTATCTTTCAGTGTGGTAAGGGCTGAAAAGGGGATAAGCACAGATATCAGGGGAGCCTCGAGGGAGAGCAGGGAGTTCCAGTCCCAAGGCCCCTGCTCTTGGGAAGTCTTCCCCGGCATCACCTGTCACATGGCATTGCACCTATGTGCTTACAGGTATGAGTTTCCACTGGGATGTGAGCTCTTTGAGGGCAGGGACGCTGCCTATGTATTCTTCTGATCTCTAGCACCCAGTACATCATATAGGTTTATTGAAAGAATAACAACACATCCTCCTGGCTCCTGAGCCATGTACCATCATCTGAGCTTCCAGGTAGCCAAGTGAATGCCTACATTAGCCACCTGCTCCAAACACATCGTACAGTAGCCCATGTTGGGAAAGGGTTTATAGAGCAGAGGGGGTGTCAAGCCCCATCTCCCTTTCTCCATTTACTGGCCAGGGCTGCCCTAGGCTTGCCCCTTCCCAGCCAGAGAAAGGGTGACTCTGGCACCCTCTGACCAAGGTCTCTTTGTCTTTAGGTCTGGCCCTCCTGCTGCAACTGGGTAAGTACCCTATGAGAGGGTGGAGAGTGCCAGAGTATGGGGAGGGGAACATTAGGGCAGGGCAAATCTCTGACTTCCCTGCCATTCCAGGTACAGCAATCAAAATCATCTGTTACTTCACCAATTGGAGCCAGTACCGCCCTGGGATTGTCCACTACATGCCCGAGAATGTGGATCCTTGCCTGTGCTTGCATCACCTACGCATTTGCCGGCCAACAGCCAGATCAAAACCATCGAGTGGGATGATGAGGCCCTCTATGCTCTATGCCGGCATCAATGGCCTTAACAACTAGTGAGTTATGGACTTGGACTTTGTGCTGGGTTGAAGGCTTTTACATGAGGTTTTTAGGAGTTCCACAAGAGATGCTGTCACCAGAATGTTTTGCCTTTGAGTGCTGTCCACAGTCACTCTCATGCCATGCCTCATTGGTAGAGCTTTCAGCATTCTTCTCCCCAGGAAAGTCAGATTGCTGTCATTTTTCTGAATTATTTTCTCCAGGAAATTCAGCTTCTCAGCGTTCTATTCTGTGTGTCACAAGAGGTACTATCCACAAGGGATTCTCTGTGAATAGTATCCCCTGTTGTATACAGTATGCTGCTGTACAGCTCATACTAACGTATGAACTAGCTACCAATTTAACCTAAAATTTAGCCTAAAATGGCACCAGTTAAATTCTTAGCATATTTATTAGGTAACTACTCTGTGTGAGGCACTTTTCATTTATATGTTGTATACCCACACATTAAATGTGATGAAGTGGGCATATTAAAATCATTTTAAAGTTGAGGAAGCTGAGTCATAGGGAGGCTAAAAGCTTTCCTTAGCCCACAGAACCCAGGAAGGCTGATTACCTCATCAGCTAG